GATATCCTCCCCGAGATCTTTCATCCGCAGGATTTTCTTCAGTTCTGACATATCTCCACTGTGACTTGTCAGTGTGACCTCTGATCCTTTGTATCCGATTAGCTACGAAAGCGTGGAACATGCGTGTGTTGCTGTTAACATGTCCCAACACAATCTAACTGTCAGTCCAGAAGATTTCTTTCATGTCCCAAAACTCCAGTGCCCACTTGCACAAATCGATCTTAGTGCTAGGATGATCATATCTCACATACTTTAACATAGGCTTACAAAAGTTGTGGCTCTAAGATCGCTTTGTGCAAGTGGGCCTTGGGCCTTCTGTGGGAAGTCTCTTACATTCACAGATACCAGCGCAGCTGTCAATTCAAGCCTTGGGATAGTAATCTTAGTCACTGATAACAAAAAACATACATTTTGAAAGATTTCCTTTTTTTTATTTTGAACACATGAATAAATGTCAAAAACTATATAATTACCCACAGTACAGTTGGTACTGATATGTACATTGATCAACATTCTTAAAAACCAAATCCTTACTACCATTACACTGAACATAAAAATATAAATACATTACTCATCATGGTAGCAGCTGCAAAAGCATAAGGGGTGGTGTTTGTGTTTTTTTACATGATGCATGAATTTTGATGATGTTTTGTCCATAAAGAAAGTATATCACAACTTCATCAAAAACTGATCTGTGAGACCTTCCCCAGTTCCATAAAAATGATATGTGAAACTTGTGACGGAACATTTTACAAAGCTTAAAAATGGTTATATAAATGTGTGTGTGTGTGTGTGTGTGTTTGTGTGTGTGAGTTGTAAACACCGCTCTCAGCAATATTTCAGCTACGTAACAGTTGTCTGCAAATAATCGAGTCAGAATCAGACAATCCAGTGATTTCCACTGCGAGCAACGATCCAACAGGGTGCGCTGACACTCCATCAACGAAGTCACGGAGTCGGACCACCAGATCAATCACCTCTTACAACCACCATAGGTTGCTTGGGACCAATTCTAACCCGGAATCTCCAGAGGGGATAAAAAATAAACCAAAACCAGTTTCCAACTGGATGGCACTGAAATCTAGGATAACTTGGATAAAGATAAGGACAAACAGTCCAACCCTCCCTTGCAAAATTATTCTTTATAACATTATGAGTTTTGGTACAAAAGCTTTTGGCAGGAAGAAAACAACTGCTTTTACATATATAATCTTTCCTGCTGTCACTGTGTAAAATCAGCTCGTATATCACCTCAACTGATGATTGTTACTTCCATGCACATAAAATACTACACAATGCTTCACAAAATACACTGAATCTTGTACATGAGCAATTGAAAAGCACACAAAAAAATCATTTCTTTCTCCTCTATCACATAAAGCCTTGCAACACATCTTGGACAGTTATCCATCAACAATAAGGTCCATGATAAGAAAAGGTTCTTTCAAAGTGCATGGGCTGTATAAGGGCTGAAACAATCAACATTTTATATAAATTCTGAGCATTGATTTAAGGTTGTAACAGTTTTAAGTGGACACAAATAGAACAACATTTCAGGGACCGAACATTGACATTCTGGGGGGGGGGGGAGAGAGAGGTTGAAAAAGACAATTTGTTCCTGATAATAACAGAAAAGCAGGCACCAAATCACCAAATGTTTCTCGATAAAAAGTTAAAAATTGTTCTCTGATGCCCCTTCAAAATGTTTTGATTTAAAAGAAATTGGCCCCTCCTTCAATAGAATAATCTCCATGTTTTGAAATGGTGTCCAAAATGTCATGTCTGGAAACAAAATCGCTGCTCCCCCGCCTCCCCCCCCCCACCCCCACAGAATGTTACCATACATGATGGGTCCCTTAAGGCAGATGATGAACACACTGGAAGATCAGACTGATTGGATTGAGCAAAGGCATACAAAGAACAGTGAAGAAAACAAGCACTATCTGTGTGTTCTTCATAGGAGTAAATACTGGACAAGGGAACACATGTTATATTCACGAGGGAGTGAACATACAGGGATTAAGTCTTATTACAGTTATATCACACCAGGATTAATAGACCATTCCTAGATGGAGTCTTCAATCAAAGGCACCGTTTAGGGGAACAATGCTGTAACCTCAAGGCTACCACCTCACTGAGTACCACAGGTTAACCCCCATGAAGATCCGGGTTAGAATTCGTCTTCAGCAACTCGTGCTTGTTGTTAGATGTGACCAGATGTGGGTTCAGGTGGTCAGGCTCTCTGACTTGGTTGATGCATGATTTCAATCACTGGATTGTCTGGCGAAAATTTGATTCTGTGCAGGCAACTGTCATATAGCTGGAATATTGCTGAGTGCAACATACAATCAAAACCACAGGTTAAGAGAGATCTTGGCGCTGTGCATGTTTGTTGCTTAATGCCACACTGGCTGTATGACCATGGACTCTATATATTCAACCAGACAAACCAGTGATTGATATTATGAGCAATGTCCCACAACGTTGGGCAAAATGACACATAATCACAAAGTCAGAACACATGTTCTACCTAATGGCCTTGTACAACAAGCACATGTTCCATCGAGTGGCCTTGTACAACAAGCACATTTCACACAGTGGCCTTGTTCAAGCACTTGTTCAACAGAGTGGCCTTGTACAACAAGCACATGTTCCACCGGGTGGCCTTGTACAACAAGCACATTCCATCAAATGGGCTTGTACAACAAGCACATGTTCCACCAAGTGGCCTTGTACAAAAAGCACATTCCACCAGGTGGCTCTGTTCAAGCACATGTTCCTCTGAGTGGCCTTGTACAACAAGCACATGTTCCACCAAGGGGCCTTGTACAAAAAGCACATTCCACCAGGTGGCTCTGTTCAAGCACATGTTCCTCTGAGTGGCCTTGTACAACAAGCACATGTTCCATTGAGTGGCCTTGTACAACAAGCACATTTCACACAGTGGCCTTGTTCAAACACATGTTCCATCGAGTGGCCTTGTACAACAAGCACATGTTCCACCGAGTGGCCTTGTTCAAGCACATGTTCCACAGAGTAGCCTTGTACAACAAGCACATGTTCCACTGAGTGGCCTGGTACAACAAGCACATGTTCCATTGAGTGGCCTTGTACAACAAGCACATTCCACCAAGTGGCCTTGTGCAAGCACATGGGCCTATTCTAACCCGGAATCCCTACAGGGCTACCACAATAACTTCCATTCATTCCCATCTTACGACTTGGTCCAATGGAGGACTGTCAAAGCCATGTCGGTACTTGCACCCAATAACATATCTAACATTGATAACATCTCTGTACAGACTACAAGTGAACACAATCACACAATATAAAATGATATGAGTTCATAATACACAGTTAGCACGAGGTTGATTTTTTGCTTGAAAAACAAATCTGAACAAAATAAAAAAAGCATATTTGGAGCCATTCCATAATACCTCAAAAGAAGTTAAAGAACACTCAATTGTTTCATATAACTATGGTTAATCTGAGATGGCAATGTCTTTACCTACAGTGAGTGATATAGATACTGAACAGATACAACTAACTGTTTACATGATGTTAAAATGAGAGATTTAAGTACTCAGTTTAACTTAAACTTTAAAACAGACTTAAATGTGAGAACATACAAGACTTACCCCAAAGTATCCTGCCACAAGCACTTAGTTTACAATCGTTGATAAATCCCTGGATTCTTGCAAAAAGATGTAGCCACAGTAAATGTACACATATGAAAAATAAACTAAGGAAAATTGTCGAAAATATCTGAAGTAACAATACTTGAATATTCTTCGGCTCTAAAACCAATACACTGCTACAAATATGACTAACAGTTTGATTTTGACGTCACTACAATCTGGCAACAGAATTCCTGCATGATTCAAGACAAGGGACTTTGTTATTAATGGTTGCGAAACATTGTTGAAATAATCTTAATAAAAGATCCCTTAATCTCCTCCTTGGCCCAGCAACGAAGATGAAACCAGATCAGCAAGAACTCCCCTCTTAAATGCTCTTCAATATGAAGATCATCAAGAGAGATTTCTCTCATAGCTGTTATTGCCAAAAGAAACATTGTTGATACAATCTTCAAAGTTCCTTTAATATCTTCTTTGGCCAGCACTAAAGATCAAACCACACTAGCAAGAGCTCCCCTTTTAAATGCTCTTCAATATGAAGGTCATTAAGGGAGACTACTCTCAAAGCTGTCATTGCCATAAGACAAAAGCCAGGTGCCATGTCAGAAATCCATGTTGAAAAGTAACCTAAGAATATATACATTCAAATATCATTGAAAAATAGTATTCTTCTATAAAAGTCAAGCCCTTATTGATGAATAAATATCTTTGGTGTTGTCATAGTTACCAAGATGAATACATAAAACCAATTTCTTGTGTCTATCCCTGAGGTATAACTGCTGACAATGCATTTATGGATACCTGGCCCATGCACAGATAAACAAACTACATAAACCGATGAAGCTTAAAATACCACAAGTATAACAGTAAACTAATACCATATTCATGTTAGTTGTTTGTTCAATAATTATTACTGATAGAATATAAAACAGTCATTTTTACAAAAATACAGATTTTAACTGTTTGTTATATATATAAAAAAAACCCCAAAAATCTTAAACATGAATACCGTATGTGAAAATGTAAAACCGGGAGAACAATTACAAAATAATACCCTGGAAATAAACTAGCATGATTCCTACAACAAGCTGAACGCACTGATGAACATCCCTTCATACCAGATACCAAACATCAGGTTCTCCAATGATGAACACATCTGTAAGTGCCAGTATCCAACTGTGAACACAATCTACAGAAGATGAACAGTGCCCATCCCCCAACAATGAGAAACACACGAGCATAATCTATTTTTAACATGCTTAATAGGTGTTTTCCATGAAGCTTAAGATTTGCATTTTCTAATCAAATACCACCCTCCCCTACCAACCACACACCCCCCCACCCCACCCACCCCACAAAAAAAAAAATTACAACAGAAAAAAATCACTGATTAATATCAGAACAATGACTGATCATGTTTAGATATCTGTAACACAATGTACCCTGGAAAATGTCCCAAATTTCAATCATGACAAAGCTCAACTAAATAAAAAGTCACAAAATAAAATAAATTTCAAACTTTGTATCATTTGTGTAATATACTCACCGACAAAAGAAACGTGAGGACCATACATGATAGTTAATACATGAAGCATTACTTATAGTCAAGCGATGTTATATTGGTCCGATGCACAAACGAACATAGTGTTATTTTTGTGTGAACCAACGCTCATGAACGCATCACATGTGACGTCATAGATCCATGACTCCAGATGCACCATTTGTCTCGTGCAAGATTAGCGTATAAAGTTTTGAAATCATGTGCAGCATATTGTGATAAGAATAAAGACACTCTGTGGTAACACTTAACTGATTGTTAGTTTTGTCATGAAATGGTACACTTTGGAAACATCTAATCTTAACTAACATACTTCTCTATATGTTTCTATAGTTCGCGTTTCATTTGGTGGTGAGTATATATTCAAGGAACAACCGTATGCTTTACATTATTCATATGATTGTTCATACCATCCATGAAATATTTCCACAAAACTGACTAAACATCACTTTCAACATTAAACATTCATATTGTTCAAAATCTTTCTGATGTCATTGTTCCACGCTCATTTACCCGCATCGTCCACCGTTTCCATAGGAAAACAGAATGATTCAATGAATGATCATTGTATAAATATCACGTCCAGGTGACTGACTACAACTAGTACAAGACACTATATGGTCTCGCTCTCCAGCCACACTGACAACAGACATCTGGACGCAGATTAAACACAAAACACCACTGTGACTTGTTATTCATGGCCTATTTACATATTTACAAAACACAGTACATATCACCTACTGTAAGGACGAGAAGACATATTTACAAGGTTAGCTCCCTTCATACATACAGCAATGAGATGAGCAGCTGTTGAATAAATTGTTCGTGACAATGGCTGGTTTGATTTCATGCTTTAGAGGATTTGGTTTGTTTGTTGTATAACGCCGCACTCAGCAATATTCAAGCTATATGACGGCGGTCTGTAAATAATCGAGTTTGGACCAGACAATCCAGTGATTGATATCATGCGCATCGATCCACGCAATTGGGAGCAATGACATGCATCAACCAAGTCAGCGAGCCTGACCACCTGATCCCATTAGTCGCCTCTTATGACAAGCATAGTCGCCTTTTACGGCAAACATGGGTTGCTGAAGAGGAAGGTTCCAGGGTCTTGTTTCACAAACATAACATTGCTTGATAACTATTGTCCTTCCTAAACAAAATAGACTGTTCTCAAGACAATATCCCACAATATCCAGATACTATGAATACCTACGAGACCAAATTTGAAAGTAAATGAGGATCTGTGTAACCATGGTAACAGAGCCGGAAGGTATCCTTACCATGCCTATCTGGACATTGTATAGATGAACACTGAGGATATAAGTAACTGCAGAAAATGGGCACTTAATAAATAAGTGATGCTGAGTGAAATTGTTTGTAATTGTCAGCTCAAAATGGGAGAAATGCCCAAAGCGATACATAAGTCTGATGAAGACAGGAAGGATCTTAATATCATAATCGAAGCTAATTTGTGATTCGAACCCACAACGAGCAGATCCAGGCATACGAAGAGTAAGTAACTCTGCAGTTATACAGTTGACTCATACTGGGTAACCTTCTTGTAGACAGGTCGAGGTTTTGGTGTGTCGTACAAGCCCTCCCTTCTGAGAAACCGACTGGCATCTCTCTCTCCCATTTCAAAATACTGGGCCAGAGTCTTCTGTTTTGGGGGAAACAGAGCATGTGTGACACGAACCAGGTTGTTGAAGTTCACCTGGAAGTCTTGTTTACTGTGTCGGAAGAACATTCCCTTCCCTGCCTTGTCGCGGGGACAGATGTCTTGGCGACCAGAAAATGGGGACACAGTGATGTTCCTCCCAGTGCCGCGGAGAGATGGGAGGTTGTTGGTGACACCACCATCGATGTATCGCTGCAAGGAAGAACATTGCTCTTGCGTTACCATGGTAACAGATGGGGATATCAGTGTTTGACACTGACCAAAATATCTCAGTGGTCCAAAGGACCAGCATATAGAAGCATCTACAGGTCGTGTAGGATCTTGACAAGACACAATAGTGCTGACCCAAAACGGTTCATTATTTCTTTGTGCGATTAGAAAGAGAAACCAAGAAGGTAACCACTGTACTACGTAGGGTTGTTTAGGTTGCTGGTTTTGCTTAGAGTCTAGAGTTAGCTATTGCTGACTTAAAAAGTCAAACAAATTTACATTACTTTGTTTGTCTCGAAAATAACACTAGACCACCGGAACAGCACTTATTCAGCGTTAGAAACTAACAGTTTTAGACAACTAGTCCTTATAATGATAACATATATACATGAGATGCCACACATTCAACATGAGATGCCACACATTCAACATGAGATGCCACACATTCAACACGAGATGCTACACATTCAACATTAGATGCCACACATTCAACATGAGATGCCACACATTCAACATAAGTTTTTACACATTCAACACGAGATGCCACACATTCAACATGAGATGTCACACATTCAACATGAGATGCAACACATTCAACATGAGATGCCACACATTCAACACAAGATGCCACACATTCAACACGAGAAGCTACATTCAACATGAGATGCCCCACATTCAACATGAGATGCCCCACATTCAACATGAGATTCTACACATTCAACATGAGATGCAACACCTTCAACATGAGATGCCACATATTCAACATAAGATTCTACACATTCAACAAAAAATACCACACATTCAACAAAAGATACCACACATTCAACATGAGATGTCACACATTCAACATGAGATGCCATACATTCAACATGAGATGCCACACATTCAACATGAGGTGCCACACATTCAACACAAGATGCTACACATTCAACATGAGGTGCCACACATTCAACACGAGATGCCAAACATTCAACATAAGATTTTACACATTCAACACATGACAATACACATTTAACAGGAGATGCTACTCACATGTCCCTTGATCTTGGGGGGTTTAAGTCCTGCATAACCGGGGATATAGCTACTGGCAATCAGGGCCTGGAGATACAAATACACACATGTTGCCATGGTTACAAACTACTGTATTTGCAAATGTATATCAAAAGTGGATGCAGCTCCAATTTAAACATACAAGCAGCAGTATATTCCCCACAGAAAGGAACTGGAAAATATTTCAGCTGCAAGAGATAGGAGGCTAAATCATGTTTATGCAAATTTGGAAACAACATTACAGTTGAACTAGGCTGGAATTATGAAGTTATATTGGCTGGACTAACGAGTCTATGCATAGTCCAATCAAAATCATGTACCGAAATCGACATCTGGTCCGTAAACTGCCGTGCAGATTTTGGTCAACAGATGTATTCCAAATCTGTTCATGTTTTTAATCAAGATGTTTATATGGTTTGATGCACTTCGTGAAGTAAGACCCATTTTATCACAATATAGATTTGATTATTGATCAGATTGTCTTGACTAGGGGCCGCCATTTTGTTTGAAGCAAATGCAAGTGATATGAAAGGTGGAATCTGATTGGTCAATAGGAGCGACACATAAGGGACATAACTCGTAATAGCAACTGGAAATTCCGGCCTAGTTCAGCAAGGGTGGAAACTGGATTTTTACAGTCGGTTAACGCTCTTGCCCTGGAAAGATGCTGGTGACTAAGCATGGATTGGCTGCTGACACACAGAGGGTCATGGTAATTTACACGATGCTGAACGTGAACCAACAACTTTCTCAACAAGGGGCACAACTCAGCATTGTTCAGTTAGCCGGACTCAACCAATGCTTAGTGACTATGAACAATATTTCAGTATACATTATCAACATAACTGTGGGACGAACCCAGTGGAGCTTTTGGGTTAGAACAGGTCCCCAGCAACCTTTGTAGGTCGTAAACGGTGACCTAATGGATCGTTTGGTCAGACACATTGACTTGGTTCTTTGTGTGTCATCATTCCCTGATGAGGTGGATCGTTGCTCACAATATTAGTCTCTGCATTGTTTGGTGGCCCAGACTTGATTATGTACATGCTGCTGTCATATAGTTGGAATATTGCATACTGTGACGTTAAACAACAATTTGAACAAAAAAAAAAAAAAAACTAATATGGAAGAAACCCTAATGTGTTGGAGGTTGTAGGTGCTTAACACTTCAGGGAATTCAACGAACAAAGGCAATGGTTTTGTTTGTTTGTTTGTTGTTTTACGCCGCACTCAGGAATATTCCTATGCACCACGCCCTTGAATCCACAACGAGGCGGTAATATGATCTGGATATAATAGAACTAGCACATTTGACGTTGCTATTATGCTGTCCTGTCAATGACCCCTATGGACGCCATGTCATGTCATTATATTGGTTGGTTGGTTTTTGGTGTAGCGCCGCACTCAGCAATATTCCAGCTATATGACGGTAGTCTGTAAATAATCGAGTCTGGACCAGACAATCCAGTGATTTACATCATGAGCATTGATCCACATAATTGGGATATGATACCATGCATCAACCAAGTCAGCGAGGCTGACCACCCGATCCCGGCAGTCGCCTCCTCGACAAGCATGGGTTGCTGAGGACCAATTCTAACCCGGATCTTCACAGTTCGCAAGGGCAAGGTACTCACTGACCAAGGATAAAAATCCCACTTAATCCTGGATTTATGCTCAAAACCAGCAGACCCTGGTACAGCAAAGGGGGGACAACTCTGTAGCTTAAACCCCTGGGTCCCCATTGACCCTTCATAACATAACTGTTTTACTGTTCAAAATGGCGTTGAACCAAACTGACTCAGACAAAAACCCATACCTTGATGAGTTCATCTCTGCTGTCAAACTGGGACATGATCTCGTTCTTTTTCGTGTCCACGTTGGTGAGTGAGATGAACAGTTTCCCTGATGCCGTCTTGTGGGCGTTCTGAGGCAGCATCCCCTCCAGGAACTTCTCCACAGTCTTCAGGAGGCTGTAGCGCGGCGTCATCACCCCCAGAGGCTTCGACCGGATCTCCTTCGCAAGGTTCTTGGTGAAGTCCACAGATTCCTGGAGAAGGAAGTGATGATATTGATGAGGATGTACATGAAGAGCTTAATATTCTGTACATCATCATGAGCAGCCGGTAATCACGGAATGAAAAGGGTTAACAATTAAAACTGCAAATATGTTGGTGATTTGTCATCACCTGCTCATAGACATATATCGCCACATCTTCTCGAGGGAAGGGAGTTAGCTGACTATGAAAGTCCAGTTCCCATCCTTCCTCAACTAGACTGGTATTATGGAGTGATATTTTGGCTGGACTATCAAGTCTATGCATAGTACAATCAAAATCGTGAAACAAAATTGCCGTGCAGATTCCAATTGATTTCAGGATTTGCAAAGCATGTGTACTGCAAACTCGGCTTCAACAGATATTTTCCGAATCTTTTCATGTTTTTAATCAAGGTGCTCACGTAATTTGATGCAATGCGCTAAGTAAGACCCGTTTTATCACAATTTAGATCTTGAATCGTCTTGAATGGGCGCCGCCATGTTGTTTGAAGTAAATGCATGTGATATGCGAGATCGTATCTGATTGGTCAATAGTGGGGGCATCGAAGGGACATAACTCATTATAGCCACTGCTAGTGCTACGATCGAGCCAAGAAATTCCAGCCTGGTTCTGCATGGTTGGAGAATGGACTTTTATACTCAATCAATGTCCTGCCTTGGGAGGATGAAATTGCCATGAATAGCTGCAAGATTGGCCTTAAACAATAATCACTCATCAACATGTAAGTAGATAATCCAAAATTGCACTTAAACATGTAAAACTTTCTCATTTCTATGATACTCTGAGTTATAACTTTTTCATTGAACCATGTTAACATGTTATTAACTAACACTACAGCCTTGTAGCAGTGGGTTTCACGGAGTGAGAACTGGACCAACAAAGAGGAAGAGGCTTATTGCTTAGTTTACATTACTGCATTGAATGAAACAATTTTATTTTTTTACAATACCTCTAAAAGTAGGAAAATAAGAACTTTCTTTCACAACATATTTTTTTCCATTCCCTTTTACAGAGTTAATCTTAGAAAAATCCCTGTAAGGAACAGTAACTGACACATCATGAATATATGCCGCCATTATCATTCAGCATGCACAGTGGCAGAAATAAAGATTTGTTCTAAATGTATTTCACTATATGTTCTACCTCAGGTTCTCTGATCTTAGATTTTTTTACATTAGGCATCTTAGAAGGGGTAGATTTAACAACAAATTTGGATGTAGCCAGCAGGGCTTGCTCCTTTTAAAAGTTACTGGCCGGCCTTCTCCAAACTGGTCTACAACTAAATAGGGGAGGCTGGGAAGTGGCCGAACCTGAGGTCGCGAGGCCACCTTGCAGGGCTCTGAAATTTTAGAACTCCTCACCCCTAAAACATTTTTCCTGCACCCTGAGATTAAATTTTGGCTTCCATCTGACTCATTTCATGGCTATTTATGAGCAAATAAAGACGTTGTTCTACACAACATTACAAAATGGCGGCCAGTTGTCATTCTACCAAGATGATCAAGATAAAAAAAATTAAACATCCAGGGAGAAGGGGTGAAATTTGGACTAGCCACCTACTTTACATTTCAGCAAGCCCTTTGTAAAACTGGCCACAGGCCAGCAGTTGAATTGGTCCCTGTTAGAATTATGACACCTTACTTGTAAATCACACGGCACTAAAACATTTAACATTACGAATTAAGAGTGTTTCTGGGGATCTTGCATAGAATCTGAATCTAAGCGTCACGATATGACCTAAATTATTAGGGCTATGTCACAAACACGAAATTTCATGCCTAATTTGGAACACTGGTGTAAACAAGCTACTTTTCCTGTATATGCTCCAACATTGGAAGTTGTCAACTGATCTTTAGGGGTGGGTGGGTGGGTGGGTGGGTGGGTGGGTGAGTTACTCACTCACTCAGAGTGAGTGAGTGAGTGAGTGAGTGAGTGAGTGAGTGAGTGAGTGAGTGAGTGAGTGAGTGAGTGAGTGAGTGAGTGAGTGAGTGAGTGAGTGAGTGAGTGAGTGAGTGAGTGAGTGAGTGAGTGAGTGAGTGAGTGAGTGAGTGAGTGAGTGAGTGAGTGAGTGAGTGAGTGAGTGAGTGAGTGAGTGAGTGAGTGAGTGAGTGAGTGAGTGAGTGAGTGAGTGAGTGAGTGAGTGAGTGAGTGAGTGAGTGAGTGAGTGAGTGAGTGAGTGAGTGAGTGAGTGAGTGAGTGAGTGAGTGTGTGTGTGTGTGTGTGTGTGTGTGTGTGTGTGTGTGTGTGTGTGTGTGTGTGTGTGTGTGTGTGTGTGTGTGTGTGTGTGTGGTTTTATGCTGCTTTTAGCAATATTCCAACAATATCACGGCGGGGGACACCAGAAATGGGCCCCACACATTGTACCCATGTCAGGAAATCGAACCTGGGTCTTCGGTGTGACGAGTAAACGCTTTAACCGTATATGTGTGAGCCTCGGTAGAGATGGCTTAGGGTACATAGGCTCACACACAGAAACATCACACCATACAGAGCTACAGATAAGCTGCGATTTTGCGTAAAATACCCCCCAAAACTATTCAAAACCCAATTACTTTCAATTAACTCGCGTACAGAAACGCATACATTAAATGAAACTCAATACTCAAACAGAGCTACAGATAAGTTACGTTTATGAGTAAAATACCCCCCAAAACTATTCAAAACCCAATTACTTTCAATTAAATTGCGTACAGAAACACATACATTAAATGAAACTCAATTGTTTGAAAACAGCATGTGTAAATACCCAATGAAGCTTTTCCAGCACGCGTACAACAGAGCTAATTTCCAAAACAAAATTACGAGCTCATTTACTTTCCGAGTCAAGCCTATATTTAGAACCGTTATATACACCTAAAACATTATTTCATTTTTTTTTAAATCTCAAAATGCTAACTCATTTTGGGAACAACCAATAGAGTGATGAACAGGTGAGTGAAAAAATATTGGTTACCCAATGAAAGATGTAATAACCCAATTAAAATAGAAACCTTCTAGTAAAAACTCAATTGCTGAAAATGTTATCTGGAGCTCTGACTATATGCCCCAAGGGTCCGGTTTACAACAAATATTTCTTACCAAAAGGGGGGCACGGGTGGCCCAGTCGTCTAAGGCGCCGCGATTCGCCGTGCAGAGTTGCGTCCCTTGGGCACGCCAGAAACCTATGATTGTGGGTTCGAATCCCGGTTCACCCCGATTATTTTTCTAGGTTTGTCAGCACCATACCCGTGCTCGTGGGTTTTGCCGAAATGATAAACGTCAGAGACCTGCATCACTTCGGGCTTTCCTCCCACATTAAGCTGACACGCCGTGATGTAACTGGAATACTGTTAAAAGCGGCGTTAAACCCAACTCACTCACTCACTCACTCTTACCAAAAGTCATTCATACAGGTCTGGAATATAACTACAGCAGTTTCACTGAGTTAGCAAAAACGTGTTGCAGATGACGCAATCGAACTGAGTTACTTCCCTTTACCCAATACATATGGATAAACTCTGATGTGAGAAAGGCATCTTAACCAATCAGAAGCCAGTATGATAACGTAAGGTAAGCTAAATCAGCATGATATCCCTATGTGCAGCGGTAGAAACTATAATGATAACATATAGCAAAACCTTAAAAAGGGCAAATTTCTACTAGTCCTTATGATACCTTAACTGTTGGCCAGTTTGGCAAGGACTATATGACTAGTGCCAATTTCTAACACTGATGTGGACTCAAACAGATGCGCCATCACATTCTTAGCATTAAAAATAACAACAATGATTTCCAGTACAATCGGGCGGTCGGGTAGCCGAGTGATTATAGCGTTCACTCGTCACGCCAAAAGACCCGGGTTCGATTCCCGACTGGATACAATGTGTGAAGCCCATTTCTGGTGTCCCCCCGCAGTGATATTGCTAGAATATTGCTAAAAGCGGCGTAAAACCATACTCACTCACTCCAGTACAATCAGAATCTACAGAGGGTACTTACTGGCACTTTATCTTGAGCAATAACCAGAATGGCGGCCGTCAGTGACCCTGCTGATGCCCCTGCAATGGTGTCCACTTTCGAGAGAAGTGTCTGCCCATGGTTGACTAAACATGAGGCCACGCCCAGGTGGTATATCCCCAGGAAACCACTGCCACACAGAGAGAGATTGTACTTCATGTCCGCGTCAACATCTGATCGCGATTCCTTCATAGCTGATCCTGATGGCTTGTGTGGAGGGAGTGTCTGTGGAGAAAACAACACATTGTGTACTGGGACACTAAGACAATTCTGACCGCAGGAATCGGGAGTCTGCTTCTTCATGTTATTTAATCAATGTCTGCCAGTTTTTTAAAAATATTTTAGTCATCATATTTGGAATAGACTCAGAGTTCTGCGACTTTAGCTGCTAGTCTGAAGCCTGAGTCAATAAAAATTCTTTTTGGTCCAGAAAGCTCAGCTAGTAATACTATACTACTTGTCTAATATTAACAACAAAATTAATATATATTGATGCTGATAGCCAAGATCAGGCTGGTACACTCAAAAAGGGTTATAACTGAAATGGCACCTCAGGAAAACGTCACCGACCGAAAACAGTACTGATTGGCGAAAAAGTCACCTCGCCTAAAGGGAAAAAGGCTACTACTGCCATGAGAATATGGCACCTTATTTTATTTACCTTGGTACTGAAATACATGAAATAAAACTCACATGGTCACATGCACACACAGACAATTGTGAAATGTTAAAACAAGTTTACATTAGAAACTAGCCTCTACTCCAATTTACTTGCCGACTCTGATTGGGTGGCGCAACTAAACTTATTGTGAAAACATTACATGCTTTCAAGTAAAATAAATGAAATTAAACTCATATGGTCACTTACAAACACAAATAATTGTGAAATGTTAATCCCCTTGAAACAAGTTTCCATCACAAATTAGCCTCTGTTCCAATTGATTGGGAGGCGCAACTATAGTTATTGTGAAAACATCACTACTACTCAAACAAACTTGATGTCAAGCTGAAACTGAATCTGGCGGAAATGTCAAGAAATTGGACTACAGGCATACTATATATTTAATATTTATTTCAGTGAGCATGGTAAGTAGGAAATAGATAGTAATTTTATAGATATTTCATGTATATCTCCCCTTTCTGCTGGCAGCCAACACCACAAGAATGTTTCTGTGGATCCATAACAGATCGTGTCCCTGCCCACGGAAAACATACATAGTAAGGGTGAAACGATACACTGATATTCCGATGCATCGCGATACTTGACCCACGATACGATATACGATAAACGTGGGCCCATTTATCGGTACGCCACGATACGTAACGCAAATCTCAAGTACAACGTTTCCTCGCTATTGTGCCTTTCAATAAACCGCTAACTTGGTTATAGCGCGCGCTAACGCATGGCTCCCAAAAACATACTTACATTTTTAAAAATCTCAGGTTTTACACCGACAGATGTTTTTCCCCATCTCATAAAACATTATCAGCTGATCACTGCAAGCACATAACACCGAAAATACACCAGTCAGCAAATGCGAACTGAAGTACGCAATTCAATACCATTATTATACTATCTTGTTATTAAAACGTGTTCATTGTATATCTGGACTTGTGTTTGTAATATATTTTATTAATTTTATTCAAAATTTCATTTAATATTGTTTTCATTAAGTTATGTGAAATCGTGTGTGAAGAGATACAGCAACCACGGTCAGATTACCGCTTTTGACGCATTGAAACGAACTTTAGTTGCTAGAAAATGGATACATACCGGTATATTAAAAATGTCATACTTTGACTCGTTAAAAGTCATATTTGTAGCAATTTGGCTAATATATGTCAACATAACGTTACCGCAATCGAAATACATGTAGCACGGGAAGTCCCTAGGGTGACTGGTCAAATTGTTCCATACATAAAAATATCCTGCAACAGCAATAACCATTACCAAAATGCTACACTTGTGGTTCTTATAATTATAAATATATATATAGTAAAAGCTGCAACTAAGGTAACACGATATTGGAATAAATTATTCCTGATAAAACAATAATTTCAGATACAATATCTTCAACCATTGCATCAAAATTCTTTGAAGTTGTATCACTGGTGGAGTACATTAATTATTTTCTGGTGTTTGAACTTTGAATTGTTTTGAAGGAAAGTTGAACAACTTCAGTAGTCTTGTTATTATAAAATAATTTTGACTGTTCCAAAATCATGAAAGGTTCAATCTTGACATGCTTTAAGTCTCGTTTTTTTCGCACTGCGCATCGAGATACGTATCGTATCGTGACCAGAATGTCGAGATGCGTATCGTATCGTGACATTCCTGTATCGTTGCATCCCTAATACATAGTAAAACATAACATAATAAAGCATGTAAATAAAGCATATCTTCTTCTACATAAATCGTTCTTATGGTTATCAAAAATAGAGAAATCGGTGCGGTTTTAGCCTGCACCCCTCAAAGCTTTGGCACAGACTGGACTCGGATTTCAGACTGCTCACATGGAACAAGAAACATATTCATTGCGAAATAAATATTTTGGCAAGATGGCAGGCTTCAGGGAGACACCCTTACACTACTAATTGACTCACCTTTATCTGATCTCAATTTTTCAAACTTTCAGCTCTTGGTTAACCTTTAAATGTTTAGGTTTAGACCTATTTAGACTTTTCAAACATTCCGTCCTTACGGTCTAAGTACTTGGCCCCTTTGTTAAACAACATTAGGGATGGGGTAAAGTTCACTTGTTAATTCATGTTGATGGTGTTGAGACGACCAGTCTCAGATCAAACCATAGTGTCATTGTGAAATTCATTATTTCGAAATCAATCTAGGCCAATCGATATCATATCACAATGCAACACCTCAGATGCTCAGTTTCAACTTTGATCTACATGGATGATACAGTATCTCTCAAATATAAATATAACCCACACAGCAGCAATCCCGTGATCGCTTTCAAAAGAATTCAGTTCCAATCAACTCGTTTCACTAATAAATTCTGACGATGCCACCAAAGTATTATATTGACGAGTCTCCTCCCGTGACCATGGTGACATTCCGGGCGATTAGGCGTTTTGAACACTCAACATTATTGACAGATAAGACTATAAAAATAAACACCACAACAACATCACTGGGATCACCCACAGAATACGTCAAATGAGCGTTGTTTCATAAATTTCACATCATTTACCTTAAAATTCGAGATTTGTGCATTTATCGTCAGCTCACAGAGTCCGCCATGTTTTAGATTAGCCGGACAGAGTTATGTTCTCTTTATTACGTCAGCAATCCCCTCGATATAGCGCGTATATGACGTCCCATGAAAACTGCATTGTGATGGCTATATTTTATAATAGCCATACGACGACAAAGACTTTTGGGGTTTTCGTATAGAAAATTTCATCTATTTGAATAATATAAAGTTTCTATGATATATGTTTTAAAACGGAGTGTTTCTAAGGAATCTAAGGATCGCCAACAGGAAACAATATCAGATACATTCTCAGGAAGTATGACTCGAGATCGGAACTAAGATCAAGAAATAAGATATATATTTCAGTTCAAGTGAAACACGTCAGTGGAGATGTATATACCTCCGTTTTGGATATCAAAGAAATATTAAATCAAGTGGTATTATCAGGTGAATTTGACCAATTTCGTGTTCGGGTTAAGTAGATGTAATTTGATTATTGTCGATCTATAACAACCACAGAGAACAATTCATAGCTACATGTATTTGTATGTTCTCTAATGTAAACATGATTGTAATAGATATTGGTAAAACGGGTATTCAAAACTGTTAGGAACAATAATGTTATTCTAACTGATAACCAAATTGTTTTGTATACCAATATAATTATGATTGTAAAGTCACCTTTGTTTGTTTGTTTGTTGTTTAACGCCGCGCTCAGCATTATTCCAGCTATATGACGGCGGTCTGTAAATAATACTAAAATTTCGTGTCTGGTCCAGACAATACGGTGATTGATATTATGAGCATCGATCCACGCAATTGGGATCAATGACATGCTTCTACCCAGTCAGCGAGCCTGACCACCCGATCCCGTTAGTCGCCTCTTACGACAAGCATAGTCGCCTTATACGGCAAGCATGGGTTGCTGAAGACCTATTCTACCCCGGATCTTCACGGGTCTGTAAAGTTACTACGCAAATGCTAACCACAGATGGTCTTTCTAAAACGACGAGCCATACCTAATTATATCTTCTTCTTTTTCATATACACGAGTAACCGTAATTGTTTTAACTCATATTATTGTAAATATTGAATTACCCCGTCTGCCTGGCGATAAACATACAGGTCCTGTCATTTCGTTGTAACTTTGCAGGTGTTACAGTTGTATCTGATATCTATGACCAAGTTGTTACGTTTTATTACTGATACGATACTAGACATGTGTATATGGGTTTTATACCCCGTGAAGATCCGGTTAGAATTAATCACCAGTAACCCATGCTTGTCGTAAGAGGCGACTAAGCTTGTCGTAAGAGGCAACTATGCTTGTCGTAAGAGGCGACTAAGCTTGTCGTTAGGTGCGACTAACCGAATTGGGTGGTCAGGCTCGCTGACTTGGTTGATGCATGTCATCGTATCTCAATTGCTAGGAACGATGCTCATGAGGGTAATTACAAAATTGTCTTGTCCAAACTTGATTATTAAGTGATTATTCCTGAGTGCGAAGTTGAACATGAAACAAAAAACCTTGTTTTTAACTGTGTTAGTAAAAATCGAGACAAGTGTTAGTTATTGGTTTGGTTTAAAACGTCCCCCTCTGTCCAATGCTGTACTGTACAGCACGACCCATATTCATAATGCCCCAACGGCTGTTACTTATTAATAAGCTTCATATGAACATATGGTCGAAACATAAAAATTCCTGACATTGTTGTTCCATGAAAGGCACAGTTTGAACTGACATTTAATTAATTTCCAAATCGTAATTTCCTTCATCTGACAGCGAAGCTAGAAGGGTCAAGGTGACCAGAATAGTTCGCTTATCATTGGTTTGAGTGCTACATATTCTGATGTAGAAACTACAAACGTATTAACCTTGAACTTAAGTTTTGATTTGAATTTGTTACATCTCTTGTTTGTTTCATTTTTAGCCACCATAAAAACTGGTTGTATAGTTTCTTTTGTCCGTTAGTTTATATGAAAAATAATTAAAAAACGACAAAACCGTTCCATAATCATTAATAACTGTATGTTATAATGGCAGAGTCCATTGTACGATTCTGCCTGTATCATGAGCATGTGTTTATGAATTACTGTCGGATAGTGATGACACCAAGTGTTCGTGAAAAGGCGAGTGTATCCTTGCGGTGTGACGACGGACTGTAAATATCGAGTTTGGACCAGACAATCCACTGATTGATATTATGAGCAACATCCCACGCCGTCGGTAACGACGACCCGCAGTCAACCATGTCACCGAGCCCGCATGACCACTCGATCCATTGATTGGCTGTTTTAGTCAAGGTTCAAATCTAACCCGCGTCCCCAAGGGCGCTAAAAGTTCAACAGCGTCGAATACCAGATAATACCCATATGCATAAATCCGTGAAGCTTTTGACCTATTTTGGTGACTTTGCGCGACACACCGACACGCCGACACACCGACACGCGACACACCAACACGCCGACACACCGACACACCGGCACCAAACTCACTCACTCACTATAACTCCCGTCATACAGCTGGAATATTGTTGAGTGCGGTGTTCACAACAAACAAACAGACACTCAATTTATACTCGGCGTCATTATTGAAGGGTCATCTACGTTTTGTGTGTTGGTTTGTTGTTTAACGCCGCACTCAGCTATATTCCAGCCGTATGACGGCGGTCTGTAAATAATCGAGTCTGGACCAGACAATCCAGTGATTGAGCATCGATCAACGCAAATGGGATACGATGACATGCAACAACTAAGTCAGCGAGCCTGACCACCCGATCCCGTTAGTCGCCTTTTACGGCAAGCATGGGTTGCTGAAGACCTATTCTACCCCGGATCTTCACGGGTCAGTAGTAGTAGTAGTAGTAGTTGTAGTAGTGTTTGCGGTAGTGGTGGTAGTAGTGGTGGTAGTGGTAGTAGTAGTAGTTTATGACTATCATCCTGTTTGGGTACAATACACAACCTGCTGTAATGGGCCTGTCAAAGACAACCTAGTGGTCTGAAAGTATCTTCTCTGTTTTCACTAGTTCTTGGCATAAGTTATGGACATGGTAATCAAACGGATGTACAGACAAAAAAGCCCCGTCATGGGATTATAAAATCGTTGAAATGACGCAGCGCGACAAACATCGGGAACCCGTTTTAACCCCAGTGGCTATTTGTTGTGTCCAGGTGACGATCTAGCTATACCTTTATCGTTTGTTTATGCTATTTCCCTTTTTCAAATTTGAATTTGGTCAAGCATTTGAGATAAAGTATGCCCTAGTTTATTAAGATCTGCAAAGTTGCTATGTTCAGTTTACTTGCCCTTTAAAGCTTTCGCCCGTCACGACAATACCAGTCTTTCGCTATGTACCGGTCAGACGTTTCAACTCGCTCTTATTCTATGTTCCGTTATTTATAATCTTCAGTATATGACCCTAAGTGCTACCGCACCTGTTCTTCAAGGACTGTATCATGTGTCACCTGCAGTTTTACAAAGCGATAACGAGATGCTCCAGACAGTTAGACTCTCGCCATTATCGCCAAACCAACTTTTTATGAACGCAGTGTACTTTTGTTGGCGTGGTTATCTGTAGACGTGTTGACCTACACAGTTACAACCGCGCTGATGTATCTCATATGATCAACAGTTTTGTCTCAGTAGAATGCTGAACACCAACATATGTCTTTCATCGTTAGTGAGTGAATATAGATTTACGCCGCTGTCAGGAATATTCTCGCAGCTGAAGTAATCACAAATGGAACGCAAAATGTGTGGACAGAGGTTTTGTTTGTAGTTTAACGCCGCACTCAGCAATATTCCAGCCATATGACGGTGGTCTGTAAATAATCGAGTCTGGACCACACAATCCAGTGATTGACATCATGAGCATCGATCCACGCAACTGGGATCGATGACATGCATCAACCAAGTCAGTGAGCCTGACCACCCGATCCCGTTAGTCGCCTCTTACGACAAGCATAGTCGACTTTTACGGCAAGCATGGGTTGCTGAAGACCTATTCTATCCCGCATCTTCACGGGTCTGTGGACAGAGGTGTGTGTGTATGTGTGTGTGTGTGCGCGCGCGCGTGTGGTGGTGGTGTTGCTGTGGGGTTGGGTGGGAGGGTTCGGGTGGTAGTATAAAAGAATAAATATATATCATTATTTTACTACTGCTACAACAACAACAACTACTACTACTACTACTACTACTACTACTACTACTACTTCTACTACTACTACTACTACTACTACTACTACTACTACTACTACTATTACTACTACTGACGCTAATGCCACTACTACTGCTGCAACTACTACTGCTACATTTATACAATATACTACTACTACTACTACTACTACTACTAGTGCTGCTGCTGCTGATGATACTACAACGACATATACTGCTGCAACTAATACTGCTACATCTATACAATATATTACTACTACTACTACTACTACTACTTCTAATATTACTACTACTGCCGCTAATGCCACTACTACTGCTGCAACTACTACTGCTACATTTATACAATATACTACTACTACTACTACTAGTGCTGCTGCTGCTGATGATGATGATACTACAACGACATATACTGCTGCAACTAATACTGCTACATCTATACAATATATTACTACTACTACTACTACTACTACTACTACTACTACTACTACTAGTGCTGCTGCTGCTGCTGATGATGATACTACAACGACATATACTGCTGCGATATCGGACTCTCACTTGAAAGACTCACTACTCTCACCACGGATGTAAATTCTCACATTCCACGGCATGATATCATTAGTCAGGTGATCGAATCAATAAGGCTCCAAATTGCATTCTCAGCTCCATGAGGAACATCCATTTCAATCAGAAACATCAATACTTACCATGGCAGGATCGACAGGTGGTGAGATACAATACTCCATGTGCACACGACTGTCCCCAGATGGTAATCAAACGGATGTACAGACAAAAAAGCCCCGTCATGGGATTATAAAATCGTTGAAATGACGCAGCGCGACAAACATCGGGAACCCGTTTTAACCCCAGTGGCTATTTGTTGTGTCCAGGTGACGATCTAGCTATACCTTTATCGTTTGTTTATGCTATTTCCCTTTTTCAAATTTGAATTTGGTCAAGCATTTGAGATAAAGTATGCCCTAGTTTATTAAGATCTGCAAAGTTGCTATGTTCAGTTTACTTGCCCTTTAAAGCTTTCGCCCGTCACGACAATACCAGTCTTTCGCTATGTACCGGTCAGACGTTTCAACTCGCTCTTATTCTATGTTCCGTTATTTATAATCTTCAGTATATGACCCTAAGTGCTACCGCACCTGTTCTTCAAGGACTGTATCATGTGTCACCTGCAGTTTTACAAAGCGATAACGAGATGCTCCAGACAGTTAGACTCTCGCCATTATCGCCAAACCAACTTTTTATGAACGCAGTGTACTTTTGTTGGCGTGGTTATCTGTAGACGTGTTGACCTACACAGTTACAACCGCGCTGATGTATCTCATATGATCAACAGTTTTGTCTCAGTAGAATGCTGAACACCAACATATGTCTTTCATCGTTAGTGAGTGAATATAGATTTACGCCGCTGTCAGGAATATTCTCGCAGCTGAAGTAATCACAAATGGAACGCAAAATGTGTGGACAGAGGTTTTGTTTGTAGTTTAACGCCGCACTCAGCAATATTCCAGCCATATGACGGTGGTCTGTAAATAATCGAGTCTGGACCACACAATCCAGTGATTGACATCATGAGCATCGATCCACGCAACTGGGATCGATGACATGCATCAACCAAGTCAGTGAGCCTGACCACCCGATCCCGTTAGTCGCCTCTTACGACAAGCATAGTCGACTTTTACGGCAAGCATGGGTTGCTGAAGACCTATTCTATCCCGCATCTTCACGGGTCTGTGGACAGAGGTGTGTGTGTATGTGTGTGTGTGTGCGCGCGCGCGTGTGGTGGTGGTGTTGCTGTGGGGTTGGGTGGGAGGGTTCGGGTGGTAGTATAAAAGAATAAATATATATCATTATTTTACTACTGCTACAACAACAACAACTACTACTACTACTACTACTACTACTACTACTACTACTACTTCTACTACTACTACTACTACTACTACTACTACTACTACTACTATTACTACTACTGACGCTAATGCCACTACTACTGCTGCAACTACTACTGCTACATTTATACAATATACTACTACTACTACTACTACTACTACTAGTGCTGCTGCTGCTGATGATACTACAACGACATATACTGCTGCAACTAATACTGCTACATCTATACAATATATTACTACTACTACTACTACTACTACTTCTAATATTACTACTACTGCCGCTAATGCCACTACTACTGCTGCAACTACTACTGCTACATTTATACAATATACTACTACTACTACTACTAGTGCTGCTGCTGCTGATGATGATGATACTACAACGACATATACTGCTGCAACTAATACTGCTACATCTATACAATATATTACTACTACTACTACTACTACTACTACTACTACTACTACTACTAGTGCTGCTGCTGCTGCTGATGATGATACTACAACGACATATACTGCTGCGATATCGGACTCTCACTTGAAAGACTCACTACTCTCACCACGGATGTAAATTCTCACATTCCACGGCATGATATCATTAGTCAGGTGATCGAATCAATAAGGCTCCAAATTGCATTCTCAGCTCCATGAGGAACATCCATTTCAATCAGAAACATCAATACTTACCATGGCAGGATCGACAGGTGGTGAGATACAATACTCCATGTGCACACGACTGTCCCCAGTGTACTGATAATCCTGTAGCGCAACCTTGGCCGAGACGATATCGGTATATGTACACACGTCTCTCAGTCGCCGCGAGTCGCCGCGAGCCTTCAGCGTTAACAAAGTCCCATAAGCGCCAAATCACAGGTTCTAATATACAGGTAGAACGCGTTGACGAGACCACACAGGTCACAAGTTCACGTTGAACCAATAAAGAGGTCAATTGATTACACACCGATCCTAAAATGTTAATTTCGCCAGCCTGTGAAATACCATCACAGCATCAAGGCCATACCTTGCAATGGTCTGTCGTGACAAGCCGTATCCCCACTGTGTACAATCGCTCTTACACGTGTGATGTAACGTTAGACTTAGCCGCGTATCGGATTACGCCCCCAGGCAAGGTGAACAGAGACCCTTACCTGTGTACTTACCTGTATTTACCTGACATATTATGTAACGTCACTGAAAGAGGCACATAAAATGTTAACGTCAACGTGTACTGATAGTTGAAGGTAATTTTAATGACGTTAAGGCTAACCTTTAATTTAAATGAAAGTAATCAATTATGAAATCTTTTGTCGGTCTTTTGCCTGGTATTAACATCAATGCTATGATTTATTTGGACGGTTGTTGGGTTATTGATTTTAATTGCTAAATAGGTATCTGCTTATCGTATATTTATTCCGTGTAGGCGAGATATAATGTCTGAGTCTCCACTGATGGTGAGACACTGATCACGTTTGACCAGTTCACCACCCAGTTTATGTCTCTAAAAGATGAGGGGGCACGGGTGGCCCAGTCGCCTAAGGCGCCGCGATTCGCTGTCCCTTCGGCACGCCAGAACCCTATGATTGTGGGTTCGAATCACGGTTCGCCCCGATTGTGTTTCTAGGTTTGTCAGCACCATACCCATGCTCGTGGGTTTCACCGAAGTGGTAAACGTCTAAGACCTGCATCAATTCGGGCTTTCCTCCCACATTAAGCTGACACGCCGTAATATAACTGGAATACTGTTAAACACAACTCACTCACTCTAAAAAATGAAACACCAGTTGGCTATAGCCGCATATTCGCTTTTGACGAATCACTGCTCGCGTGAATTGTATATGGTACGTTTTAACGGTTAGTACGTTATAACGGCTTGTACGTTATAACCGCCACTACGTTATAACGACTAGTACATTATATCCGTATGCATTATAACCAGGTTCTACCGCGTGTACGACAGGCGGGTAGTCTTGCGTTCGTCTCTTCGCATGGTGTAACGTATGGAGCCTATTGCGTCCATATGCCGTGATATATAGGCAGAAAATGTTTATACGTTTATATGTTCTCATGCTTAAATGGGGCGGTGGGGTAGCCTAGTGCTTAAAGCGTTCGCTCGTTAAGCCGAAGACCCGAGTTCAAATCCCCACATGGGTACAATGTGAAACCCATTTCTTGTGTCCATGCCGATATATTTCTGGAATATTGCTGAAAGCGAGGAAAAACCTGTTCACTCATACGTAAATGGCAACCAGATAATCATACGTACTTTTGTTCCTGAGCCTGTTCCAACGCTTGTCACGTTGAAATAATTCAGCTACAATATTTTTTGATGGACATCTGATGTGCATAACTAAAAAAAAATCAAGAGAGATTAAAAATACGTTCAAGAAAAACTATTCCATGTACCCTGTACTCTATGTCAGATTGGAAATGTTGCCCCTTGACAACTAGGCTGGGATCAGCTATGCACGTCTTAGGTACTGATAACACATAGGTAATAGCAGGCTGTTAAGTATGGTGGGCGTGGCTTTTAACATAACTCAGCATGTTTTTCGATCCAAACCAAACTTTTTAAATGCAGATTATTCTGACAGTAGTGGTTTGCATGTTACTCAACACATCCAATATAGGCTAAATGAAGGAATTTGATTTAGTTTCCATAGCAACATTTTTCTTTATAATACAGCGAATTCTTTCATCGTTATTATTTTTCGCGATCCGGGTTAGAATAGGTCTTCAGCAACCCATCATTGTCGTAAAAGGCGACTAACGGGTGGTCAGGCTCGCTGACTTGGTTGATGCATGGCTTCGTATCCCAATCGCGTGGATCGATGCTCATGATGTCAATCACTGGATTGTCTGGTCCAGACTAGATTATTTACAGACCGCCGTCATATGGCTGGAATATTGCCGAGTGTGGCGTTAAACAACAATCAACCAACCCTACTGTGTGGATAGATGCTTATGATGTCAATCACTGGATTGTTTGGTCCAGACTCGATTATTTACAGACCACCGTCATATAGCTGGAATATTGCTGAGTTCGGAGTTTAACAACAAACAAACAAATATTATTTTTCTTAAAGGGCAAACTGGGACAGAAGAGGCCTTCTCTGAACAGGCGATACAACTAGTGTTAACTACAGAACTGCAGCTCACGTGGATATGCAGTCAACTGATAGAATTGTCAACCAAAATCCGAAAGCTTCTGAATAAATACTGAGGACTAAACACTAACACGAAAGTCTCTGGATTTGAACAAATAATAGAACACGAAACGTGGCAAACTTCAGATTCCTCAGTTTACAGAGGCGAAAAAGAGAATTTAAGAACGTGGCCAAAACACAATGGTTATAAAATATACGACTATGCTTGTCGTAAGAGGCGACTAACGCGATCGGGTGGTCAGGCTCACTGACTTGGTTGATGCATATCATCGTATCCCAAGTGCGTGGATCGATGCTCATGATGTAAATCACTTGGTTGTCTGATCCAGACTCGATTATTTACAGACCGCCGTCATATAGCTGGAATATATACTGGAGTTCGGCGTTTAACAATAAACACAAAGTTATAAAATATGATCAAACTTATAACTACTGCCAAAAATTAAACATTGGTCTCGAGTCCCACTTCAAACTGAACACATTCCAAGTTTTATTACATTTTGAACAAAAAAACTGGCTGAATAATGGCAATCAATAAGTTTTTCATTAGAGCTACCATGGCAACAAAATTGAAAATCGGATTCGAACCTCTTGATCAAATTTTGGTGTCATTGAGAGGAACAAGCATGTAACATTCAGCTGTATTGGTCCAGTGCTTCCTCACGAGATGTTTACGGGCGATGACGCTAAAGTGGATGGTCACAGTGACTTTTGAATGTGAAAAATACTGAGGAAGGGTGCGGGTAGCACAGTAGTCTACGGCGTCACAATTGAACTCCGCCGTACCAGGATCTGCTGATCGCGGGTTCGAATCCCGGGTTCGCCTGGATTATGACCCGTTGTCTGTCAACTATATACCTCTGCTCTTGGATTTCACCTTATGGGTCTCAACCACAACCTGCATCCAGGGCTTTCCTTCTCGTCTAGCTCACAGGCTTCCATATAATTCATTAGTGGTCGGAACGGCGCTTCCTGTGAAGATCCGGGTTAGAATTGGTCTTCAGCAACCAATGCTTGTCCTGAGAGGCGACTAACTGGATCGGGTGGTTAGGCTCGATGACTTGGTTGATGCATGTCATCGCATCCCAATTGCATAAATCCATGCTCAGGATGTCAATCACTGGATTGTCTCGTCCAGCTCAGGTTATTTATTTTGCAGACCGCCTCCATAAAGTTGGAATATTGAGGCGTTAAACAACAAACAAACAGACAAATCGACTTAACCAAACCGTTGGGTGAAGCATTAGATAGTTGTTCCGTCTTTGGACCACAACCTATTGGTGAGGTGAGGTGAAATGGGGTTTAACGTCGCGTCCATGATCATTGCACTTATATAGCGACGTGCATGCACGTGTATGTATGTGTGTGGCTGCTTGTACTAGTCCGGACTGATGCCGATTTATAATGCTAGCTCACTGAGATACCATGCCGCAGTTTAACATGAATACCCCACTCAGACACAGTATACTGACTCCGAGCCGACCAGTCCTTGTTTTAGGCCCTTAATGCCGAGCGCCAGACAGGGTAACAACAAGTACCATCTTTTAACATCTTTTGGTCCACAACATATTGTATGTTACCAAAATTATATAACCACACCATGTCAAGCAACGTCATTACATATCGTACTTTAGTTGCCTCGCACTTCTAAGTACAGTACACTACGTTTATAACGAACACGCTTATAACGAACTGACCGATATAACGAACTTATTTCTTAGTCCAGGCCAGTTGCTGTATATATGCTGTATATATGCTTATAACGAACTACGGTTATTACGAACTAAAAGCAGTGGTCCCTTGAGTTCGTTATAACCGTAGTTTACTGTATGTCCTTATTTAGTTGAATGTGGACCAGGTCGTCAAAACCAGAGCTTCTGAAACGAAGCCTTGTGTAAACACTGTGTGTGTCACTGACACAGACCGCAGTGGTTGGGGTGTGTGGTATCTTAGCGTGTGTCGGTAGGTAGGTAGTGGCTGGTGATAGGGGTATACGGCGCTGGCGGGGTGATAGGGCAAGCAATATGCAGCGGGAGATACAATCACTAGATCGGCCCGTGGTTCTGCTGTGATCTCCGAGTGACATCTGGTGATTAGAACAGTTTGATGTGGTGATGGAAAGAAGGGAGAGAATGATTTGTGTTTTACACCGCTCAGGTTTTTGGTTACGTAAATAATGTTTTCAAAGTTAGTGGGTGTGTGGGTGTATGGGTGTATGGGTGAGTGAGTGAGTGAGTTGGTGTGTTTGCGTGTGAGTGAGTGAGTAAGAGTGTGTTTGAGGGTGGGTGAGTGAGTGAGTGAGTAGGTGTGTGGGCAAGTGAGTGAGTGTGTGAGTGAGTGATCGAGACAGTGAGTGTGTGAGTGAGTGAGTGAGTGAGTGAGTGAGTGAGTGAGTGAGAGAGTAGCCTCTCTGAACATTATAAGTTATGTCATCAGTTATCCTGTCACCACCACCAAACAACAAGTCTACCACCACAACCACCAGCATCAACATCAGCACCAGCATCCACAACAACAAAATCAACTTTTCAGTTTCCTCTGTGTGTTTTTTAGATCCGGGGTAGAATAGGTCTTCAGCAAACCAAGGCGATTATGCTTGTCGGAAGAGGCGACTAACGGGATCGGTTGGTCAGGCTCGCTGACTTGTTTGATGCATGTCATCGTATCCCAAGTACGTGGATCGATGCTCATGATGTTAATCCCTGGATTGTCTGGTCCAGACTCGATTATTTACAGACCGCCGTCATACAGCTGGAATATTGCTGAGTGCGACGTTAAACAAACAAACAAACAAACGAATAAACAAACAAACTGTATGTTTTCTCCAAGATACAGGGGGCACGGGTGGCCCAGTCGTCTAAGGCGCCGCGATTCGCTGTGCAGAGTTGCG